GGACCCTAATGTCCGGGGGGAAGAGGAAAGCGCCACGGAAAATAAAGTGATGTGGAAAATAAATAAAATTACACCGGAAAATAAATAAAACAGCTCTGTAAAATTAATAAAAATTACCCCAGAAAATAAATAAAAATTACCCTGGAAAATAAATAAAAAAGACGCCATAAAATAAATAAAAATTATGCCAGAAAATAAATAAAAATACCCCAGAAAATAAATAAAAATGACCCCAGGAAATAAAAATTACCCCGGAAAATAAATAAAATGATGCCAGAAAATAAATAAAACCCTGGAAATTAAATTAAATTGAAGTCCTAAAATAAATAAATAAATAAGAACTACACCGGAAAATAAATAAAAACTACCCTGGAAAATAAATAAAAACTATGGCAGAAAATAAATAACTCCTCATAAAATAAATAAACACACACACCCCAAAATAAAACTACCCCCAAAATGCTGAATTTTGTTCTTTTTTTCTCTCTCTCTCCCCCAGGGGACCGAGACGCAAGGCTTCGTAAGTGCCGTTCTCCTCCCCTCTTCGCGCTTTCCCTGCGTTTCCCACTCGGAGCCCTCGCGTCGCTCCCGAAGGGGCGATGGTACCGGACCCAGGGGGTTCCCGCGCGTGCCGAGTTATCAAATTCACCGTTCCAGGGTGTTTGCTCATAGATTTTTGACTTTATTTTATGCATTCAGCCTGGGCAGTTTTATCCCCTGTTTTATACCATTCCTCTCCACATTTTCTTATTTTCTGAGACACTGTGGGAGCTTAAACCAGAGAATGATTTACGCTGTGTCCAGGGAGGAGAAATTTCTATTTAAAGGAAATTTAATTTAAAGGAAATTTCTATTTAAAGGAAACTTTAAGAGAAATTTTTATTTAAAAGATGTCTATTTAGAAGAAACTTTTATTTAAAAGAAATTTATATCTGAAAGAAACTTTTATGTAAACGAAATTTCTATTTAAATGAAATTTCCATTTAAAGGAAACTTTAAAAGAAACTTTAATTTAAAGGAAACTTATTTCAAGGAAATTTTTATTAAAAAAATTTTATTTCAAGGGAATTTTTATTTAAAAGATATTTCCATTTAAAAGGAACTTTTGTTTCAAGGAAATTTCAATTTAAAATAAATTCCTATTTCAAGGAAACTTTTCTTTCTCTCTCTTTAGGGAAACTGACCGCAGAACTCGGTAATTTTGTTTCCTATTTTATGGGGAAAAAAGGGGCCAAAGCAGCCGCAGGTGCCAGAATCTGCTTGCTCTTTATTTTTCTTTATTTTCCTCTTTTTTTAGCCAAGTGCGACGCGACAATCAGTGAGTGACATCTCCTCCTCCTGCACCCTCGGGAGGGGGTGGTTGGGCCGTTTGGCGTTGCGGTGAGGTGGGAATTTCGGAATTAAATTCAATTTGGGTTGTGAGAAGCAACAATCCCTTGGATTTTGAGGGCTGGGGGAGCCTGGAGGCAAAATTCAAGGGGGAAAAGGAAAATATGGTGGGGGGGGGGGGAGGGGAAATTCCCATGGGATGAGCTGAGATGGGCTGAAGAGGTGGCGGTTCACCGCATGTTGCGATATTTGGGAAATTTGATTCAAATTCGTGTTATTTTCTGGTTTAAGGAATATTTACAGTGGAGCTTGGTAAGTCCTTTTGCATTTTTTTTGTTAAATTTGAACAATTTTTAAGTTGAAAATAACAGAAAAATTTGATTAAAAAAATTACATTGCAAACAAATTTTTAAATCGCATTTAGAAAAAAAAAATCAATTCTAAAACCCAAAGCCGGGCTTAATTCTGCCCCTGTTTTGGAAAAAAAATCCCATCGGAAAGGCAGAAGTAGAGAAATTGAAACCCCCGCAAATAATTTGAAACAGGGAGAACGCGGGGGCCTGGCGGGAAATCGCTTTGAATTCTGAATTACGCGAAGGGAACGGGAAATGTGACATGGGAAAGGCAGAAAGCGGGAGAAATAACGCAAATTTTCGGGTTTTTTCCCTCCTTTTTAGGAGAGCGGCACACGAAAATCGGTAAGTTTTACTCTCCCCCGCCTGGCCAATCCTGGGAGGAAACGAAATTCCAAAATCGCTGTCTGTTGCCTGGGATTTTACGGGGCAAATAAAACCCTTTTCCCTTTCAAATTCACTTTTTTTTTTGCCTTTGTCCCCCTTTTTTCCCAGGTGAGCTCACCGCCGATGTCGGTAAGTCGCCATCGGCTGGGGGGGTGGGTTTGCTTTTTTTTTTTTGGTG